ATCTCTCTGTCTGTACACACAAATGAAATATTGACAATAAAGTTGACTTGATTTGATTTGATACGGAAGAGCCTTTCAGTCCAACAGATTGAGAACGAGAGACTTTGAAATTGGAGAGTATTGTACAATAAAAACAATAAAAGGCCAAAAAGTAAGAGTCTTTCGAGGATTCTGCATTCGACCCATCCTACAGTAGTATGAGGAGCATTTGGCGTCTAGAGGACAATGCCTTGCTAAAAGGCACCTTGGCGGTACATGGATGTTAGAGGAACAATATATAGGATAGCTCAGATCGTACCCTTCTCTCAGAGTAAAGTGAATAATTCAATGCTCTCAACCCAGAGAGGGATTTAGTCACAATCCAAAATCCATCACCACCGCTGTGAAGAAATGGCTGCATGATGGGATCGCATGGTGTCCCAGATCAATCAATACTGTTATAGAAGTGATGTGAGAGCAGCTGAGTGACATTACAGAGGGTTAGGGTCGACGTTAGCGTAAGGAACTTTAAAGGTCTCCTATTATACTATTTTTAGGCATAATTTATTTCCTGCTTCTTCACATACTCTCTCCAGTACAGGTTAGCTCTGAGTGTTAGCGCTGCTTGCTAATGTAAACACAGACCATAATACTTCCAAAACACGTAGCACATTTTTTCTGATACCCACATTTTCTTAGATGTGGGTTAGGAGGAAAAGAGAGAGGGTTGTATTTTCTGAGTCTCATAATAGGAGACCTTTAAAACCCAAAACTACGAGCTTAAAGAGGACATTTTTACCGCTCTTTAAATTCCTTTAAAAGCTGAACCAGTCAAACTTTGTCTATCGTCCGCAGCTTAACACGCCACTTCCTTCCCTTTAAACGCACATGCATACCACTCATTCCCAACTTTGAACTCAAGAGAGAGAGACGTGCGTACGACAGCACCAAACCTCCACAAATCAAAACCCTCCATAAAACACACTTGGCGTTGGGATACCGTTATTACTTACAGGAGTGCATTGAGTGAAAGCCATTTCCCCCGGGGACCCCCAGTCACCCTGTAACCTCAGTGGGCGTAGAATGAGAGGGGGCTTTCATACCGCCTCGTAATGCCTCTTTTATTCAGAGCCCATCTCCCCTGATCGCCCGTTGACGGTTCATTTGAGCCTCAGAGATGAAGAGAGGCCAACTCACCAGCAGATCTTGACTGAGTGATTGAATGGCGCCCTTTAACAGGGACGACCTCATTAGCATAACGTACATTTGCATACGGCGCCGTACAAAGCCGAGCGGTGTCAGGAAGCTGCCCTCGGCCTTTCTTCGCGTCTTGTTTTCTATCTCTATTGCTTCCTCATATGGCTCAGATTCTCTGGCTGCTTCTTTCTGGCAGGCTTATACAGTTTCCAGACCAAGAGACGGTCAATTAAATTCTCCCTTTCTTTCTTCTCCTTGAAGACACTATGTACGAAGTTTCATGCTGGGTCATGCTTTTTCATCTGTCAATTTGACGGACAACAAAAAGGTCTTCAGGCTGTGACATTTTCTATAAGGGAAAGGTCCAGTTTGTCCCTTTTCAGTATTTACAATGATGAATAAACTTCGTCTGCCTATAGAGTGAGAATGAACAGCTCAAACTGACATGAATGCATCTTTTGTACCTTAGAAATGAGTGCCAAGGTTTGAAGGTTTTTCAGTACCGGCATTTGATTTCACATCTTGGTAAAACTGCCATATGCAATATTCATCATCAACGAAAAACAGATCTTTAACCAGAAGACAACAAACCTAAACCCAAGGAACAAACCTAGCCCTAAACCTAACGCTAAGAAGAAGAAGTAGAAGATATTGAGTCAATGAACTACCAACAAACTCAATTACAGAGGGTCAGGAATATTACAATTTAAACCAAAATGACTAGCTTAAAGAGGCAAGTCATACGTTATTAATCCCTCAGGGGAAATTCAATTAATGGTTTGGATAACTGTGGCCAGTTGTTGGACCATTCAGTGTCGAGTCAAAGGTCCTTAAACGCTGGTAGGATTGTTTGGAAGTTACGCTTTCATTTAGAGATGTTTGGGACTGTATCTTAACGGTCCAACAACCCATGAGTCCAGAACAACAGCAGGATGTAAATCAGCATCCAGAGGCGGACAGACCGTCTCAGGACAACAATACCCCGAGGGGTCGTGGTGTCTTTCTCAGCCCGACTTCTCCTGCTAAAAGACTCAGGGCTCCGGGCATTCAACGGGACAAAAGGGGGCGTGGTGGTCCACTCCCGAGGGGGTTGGGAACCCACGGGGGAAGACATGGAGGCCAACTGAACGTAGGATAAACTGTCCATCATAAGAAGGTACACAGAGATTAAGATCCTGGATAGTCTGACTGTAATCCTTTGAGACTTTCTAAAGATTCTCCATGACCGATCACACTAGACCTCCACAGAAAATATAAAGCACACTTCTGGGAGATCTTGGATGAAGTTGGGGCTGGAAAATTGTCTACAACATTTGGCCTAAAGTTCTTAAACACACCGTATCAAATACTTCAGATCTGATGTGAGCAACTTTTTGGTTACCGACATATCTGATTGCAATGCTCTTTGCAATTGGAGTTGCAAAAGGAGATAATTGGACGTATTATCCAAGAAGAAATGAGTTTGATTTTGCTCATTTCATCAGGCGACCCTTGGGGCTCTTTAGGAAAACGCTTGATACAGAATTTCCCCTCAGAGTCTCCATGTTCTGCCACTGATTGTACTCAAAGCCATTATTTTGAGGGTTTATATATTCATGAATACAGGATAATCCTTCCATTTAAAATATACACCAGCAAATCAAAGAGGACAGCTTCTAACTGCTTCTTTTTAGTCCAATCAATAGCCAAAAACCCAATGGTGCTCTATTAACAATCATAGAAAAGCAGCAAATCCTCATATTTAAGAAGCTGTAACCAGAGAATACTTTCTACCTGATAAATGTTTCTACATTGTTCTCCTGGAAAGCTTGAAAGCATTGGAGGACCTTCGCTCTCTGTACGGATCAACATTCTTGCTTTAAACTGGATTTAGAGCATCTAAGAGCATCTGAAACCAGAGACCTGTGTGTTTCTTTACAGGTTTGCCTCGAGGCATGCAGGGATTATCACTCTCTGCTCGCCTTTACTGAGATTTGGGGAATCCCTGGAACAATGTTTTCCGATCAAAGAAGAACATCCATCCAACCTTAAATCCCTGACCTGCTGGATGTTAAATCTAAACCCAGTTTGCAGGAGGATTCTCGAGGGTTAAATTAATCAAAAAACATCAACGACACAGAGGAAACCTGCAGAGGTAGAACTATTAACAGGAAACACAAAAGAAAGACAGATATGGTGGACGATTAAGTCTCCATTAGTAGCCGAGGAAACTTCTTCCAGCTTCTTTGTGCAAGTTCTTGCTAAAGATAAGAACATTAGAACAAGTGCTTTTATTACATGTGTGCAGGTTTTCCACTATTGAACAAAATGTCTTGATTCAAATCCAGTCGTAACTCAAAGTAAATGAATGAATGCACGACGTGTGTCTGTGTTAACCTGTTCAGCCCCGAGCCTGTTTTTCAGGTTTCAGGCTCGAAAATGACATGCCCAAAACAAATGACTACAACTTCACTTCTAAAAGGGTTATATGAATAATTTCTTTTATCAAAGCAAGGTTACATCTGTGAGTTGGATGAAGAAGTGTCAGAATCAATATAGATTTTTCTCAGTCAGAGTAAATTCAGATGGAACATAGTAAAAAAAGGTAAATTCTTACCTCCGCCTAAAGAAAAAACATTACTTATAGTGAAAACCACCCTTGAATGATGGGATGGTCGACTAAAAGCTTTAGGAATCCAAACTATAACATATAATAAGTACCCTGTATCAAGATTGAGGCAAAACAAGTTAAATTTGACCTTTTTAGAGAGGTTTAGCAAAAAAAGGTTCCAGGCGGAATAAGCTTTCGGCACATTTGGGTACATCTGGTTCCATCAGTGCCATTTGACCTTTTTCAGGTACCAGACTATACAAATGGTGTATTACATTGAATTATCACCATAGGTATTCATTCCATCCAAAGAAAAAAAAAAAAAAAACAGGTGCTCTTGATTTCCTAAAAAGAGAAACGTCAGATTATCATCATGCTTGAGAGAGAGCAGCGATGGCCTCAGGATGCAACTCACCTTTTCCCACCCATTATCAATTGATCTGTCAATTGTCACATGTCTAAAAGCATTCAGAGATAGCTATCACACAGCCTGCTTCGTCTCAACAACTGTCACAAAATCCCAAACTACTCAAAAGAAAAATATGTAAATCAAAGACAAGGTGCACATTATCCAAGTTATCAAGCTGTCATCAGCGTAAAGTGACTTGAACACAAGAGAAAGGATTTATAAACACAACACATCTTAAACTCTAGGACCTTCAAACAGCATACACAGATTACATCAGGATAGGTTGAAGGGTCACTAGTGAAACAGAACTAAGGTTTTCTTGCACAATCATCAAAGAAACTGTATCTATAGCAGTGATACACTCACACAGCACATAGACCTGCGGCTCCAGCTTCAGTCAAAGCTTTTTTTATCCCTTCTTGAAATTCAATGCGGATCAATTTGATTCTGAAAGCCTTCGAGTCCAATTAAGGAGACAACAAACAGAAGCTTCTGAGGGACGTTCTGTGCGTCCAGTGCACCGCCTCATACAGATACAGCTGGAATGACACTGATGGGAATATTCCTCACAGTTGATTCATTAGGAAACAAGCTGTTGCATCTTGATCGGTCACAACAGAGAGGTTGCACAAAGCCCCTGAGAACACAGATAAGCCTTTCACACCTTTGTACCGAAAACAAGCCGAATGCAATCACAGATCTGCAGCAGTACATTGATTCAGACTTGAAATGACAGCTGGATTTAACAGTCTTTTTAGCGTTTTCTTGGTAGAAAATGAAGGATTTATTAGCATATGCATTGCTGTGATACAAAAAACACATTTAGACATTAAATGCATGTTTAAAATCTCTTCTTTCTTGTTGTTGCATGTGTGCAAAAGACTGGACATCATGCTCTGAAACTCTCTTTGTGCATCGGTCATGCAGCTGAACCCACACCGCTGCATCTCACCTCATCCCTGAGCACTAAAACCCTCCGCTGGACATTTAAACCCGTGCAACAAGCGTGTACTTGAATGCACCGCTTCCTATCTAAAAAAATACAAATGAACCCACATGCGTCAGGTCTCACCGTGCATCGTCGCTGCGAGCGTCGCCTCTTTTTAGGGTTTGTCAGATCAGAGACTAACGGAAAATCACAGAGAAGTTCCCAGAGCTGCTGTCTGTGTCGCTCCTCAAACACACTGACCGGCTTACACACACATATACACTCTCTCACACACACACACACACACACACACACACACACTGCCACAGCGGAGTCGAACAAAGGCATTCAAACCCAGAACTCCACTCCCCCTTTCTGTGAGGAGAGGGAGGGCTGTGGTTGTCCTGGTGATGTGTCTCCTGCTGAGGCTAATTTCTGCGAGCCACTTGTAGGGCCTGACAGAAAGAGAGCGTGCGTGTGTGTGTGTGTGTGTGTGCGTGTGCGTGTGCGTGTGCGTGTGTGTGTGTGTGTGTGTGTGTGTGTGTGTGTGTGTGTGTGTGTGTGTGGATTCAAACATAGTGTGGTGACTGGTCAGATGATGCTGTGTGACGCCGCCTCTGACTGGAAGAGCCTTTCAACTTCAATTGTTCTACACTCATAATGAAATACCTTGCATGGTATAAAAGTAAATTAAATGTTTGTGCATTCACTGCCTTAAAGCTGGAATATGTTATAGAATATTGCATGCACTGTAGACACACATTTAAAATGCGAAAAGGTTCTACTGACTGCAACATTTTCTTAATTCTTGAGTTCATTCAATTTGTGTAATTATTTATTTTTATTTACTTGCACTATTTTGCAGATTTAGTATCAACTACTTAAAAGTATCCATTTAAAGAGGCCCTATTCTGTCCACCACATAGAGGTGTCCCGCCCCATAGCCTATAATGCACTCACCTTCAAGACGAGTAAAAGCTTAGACACATGTATTTTAGGTAATGGAACAAAACGTTGAAAGCTCTAAGTGGGCAACAGCCATCTTACATGTCCTTGTTGCTATACTTCTCTTTCCTGTGTTTACCACAAACAAATGTTATCTGAACATGTGACACACACGCAGTTTGAACTGATAGCCAACAGTACAGAGATATATGGTGTGTGTGTGTGTGTGTGTGTGTGTGTGTGTGTGTGTGTGGTGTGTGTGTGTGTGTGTGTGTGTGTGTGTGTGTGTGTGTGTGTGTGTGTGTGTGTGTGTCCTAATCGTGTTTAGATCCAACAGTCTGTCCACACTATTATGCATTCTGTCAATATATTGATATTTCCACTTACCATCTGCAGTGCCATCAGCCTGCAGGCTTTTTAAAACTACACAACCACAAAAACTGTCAGTAAAACCAGTCAGTTTGGGAGAAAATCTTCCCCAAAATGTCTTTACTTTCCAAATATGTCAGAAAAAAACAGGAAGGGCTCCAAATTGAAACCTTTGTGCAGCAGATCAGTCCATTTTTTGTCTTTGCTTCCACATTGAAATGCTGATTCCCCTCCCCCTCAGACACCTGCTCAGAGCCTGACAGGCAGATGACAGGGACGCCTCTCGGGGGCTTTTAGGGGCCTCGTGCCGTGTCACCCTGACCCTTGTTCCCCCCTGGGGAGCTCCCCCCCCCCCCACACTCGTTTCACTACATTTAAGCCCCATTGAAAAGTCTTCATTGCTGCCTTGTTAAACATTCGATCAGAGGCCAGACGGTCGCCTTCTCCATCCAGCTGCTCTCAAGATACTGTTTATATTTGCATCTGTCTAAAAGTAGAAGTACTCAGATCTTATACTTGAGTAAAGGTAGAAGTACTCCGATCTTGTACTTGAGTAAAAGTAGAAGTACTCCGATCTTGTACTTGAGTAAAAGTAGAAGTACTCAGATCTTGTACTTGAGTAAAAGTAGAAGTACTCAGATCTTGTACTTGAGTAAAAGTAGAAGTACCAGAGTGTAGGAATACTCTGTTGTAGTAAAAGTCCTGCATTCAAAATGTCCCCTCAAGTAAAAGTATTAAAAGTATTATCATCAAAATATAGTTAGTAGTAGTACTTGAGTAAATGTACTAGGGAGGCGTGTGGCGCAGTGGATAGAGCCTTGGTGTTGGGACCAGGGGGTCACAGGTTCAAACCCCACTGCAGTCAGCATGTCGTTTGTGTCCCTGAGGACACTTCACCCCAAATTGCTCCTGTGGGGATTGTCCACAGTATTAGCTTTGGCTAACATTAATTTAATGTAATGTACTTACTTTACACCTCTGTTAGCCTACAGATTCAAAATGTCATACATAGCGTTGGAATTTATAAAAAATACCAAACAAATCTGTTATTTTTCCGTAATGATCAAAGAAACAACTCCAATCTTTTTACAGTCAGCTTGTTATCATAATATTAGTTTCTCCCAAACGAGGGGGATTAGCGGAGATACACTCTCTGCTGGATCTCTGATGACCCGTTCTTCTATAATCACTGACGTCAGAATCAATATGACTGATCCTATGTGAACTTATATATCTGACGTCTGCAGTGATGATGCTAATTGAGAGACAAACATCGATAAGATACTGATCTGAGAACAGTCCAGCTGATGAGAGGGTCAATACTCCGGTAGCCTGGGAGTTTTTACAAACTGCAGACAAACGTGACAACTCCAAAAAAAAGGATGTCAGTGGTTGCCATTCTTTCCAGTTACACTAGATATACATATAGAGGGAAAGAGAGTGGAGACTGTATTGTACGATGGTAGAACGACCACCATCAGGGCTGAGCGTGATAATCAGAGATATTTGCCGATTCAGCAAACACACACAAGCTGAAGTCTACTCATTTCCAGGTTAGATTTAGTCTTATTTGCATACTGCTGTGACTTACGTTAGCTATTTTGAGTGCATACTGTAGATGTGTCCCACTGTGAACTATGGTCAAAATGCACTATGAGTACCTGGACGTGCTTTAATGACGGTCAAAAAGTTGAAAGCCGGACACTCTTTCACTCAACAGCCGCCATCCTGGCTAGCTAAAGTGGCGGGAACATTAGCGGTTGCTACGCTAAACACAGCAGTACACAAATAAAAGTGATGTGGTTTTTCTTTTCACTATTCAATAAACTTACACGATACTGGTGTTGAAAAGACCCGCCACTGTGTTTTTTATTGGGCTAAGTGAGCTGTCTGTAATGATTTTGATACCGCTAACGTAGCTAACTAGCTAGCTAGCAGCGGCAAACGTCACTTCCTGTGAGGGAACAGCAGCTGTGTGAGATTTGAGACCACCATTACAAGTGTTTTTGTACTAATGGATAGTATCAAAACTGAGACCACAGTACAAGTCATGTGACAGGGTGTCTGCACTCTGCTGGATTTACAAATACACTCAGTTAAACATGAATGGAAAAACAATATTTGATGTGATTTTGTGTCATCTCCAGTCAGTATGAGGGCCAGTCACGGGGCAGACGTGGACGCATAATTGTTTACATTACTCTCAACATTCCTCTTTACTGCAGACTGTTACTAGGCAACCGGGGGTAAAGGTCCCCAAAAGATCCCAGACATATTCTCATGGGGGGGGGGGGGGGGGGAGTGTTTTGATTATTGAAATGACAAAAGATTACCACACACTCTCTTTGCAGTGTGTTGGTGTGTTGTATGTGTGTCTGTCTGTACTGTCGTCGCTGTGTGTGTGGTGTGTGTGTGTGTGTCTGTCTGTCTGTCTGCATCTCTGTGTCTGTCTGTGTGTGCGTGTGTTACGTGCGTGTGTGTGTGTGTGTGTGTGTGTGTGTCTCAACCTTGTGTTTGTTTTGGTTTGATGCATCTGATGAAGTAGGGGTGGATGGTGCTCAGTGTGGCCATCAGGGAGTGCAGATGGCCTGAAACAAATTAAATGTTTCTGTAAAAATACAGTATATTGACATAATAATGATGTGTAATGAAGTAATAAAGCCATAATGTTCTGGTTCTGTCACCTTGAACTGCGAGCTGACGTTCGTGGTTGCCGGCGGTGCTTGTTGCTGCTCTTCAGAGTGTCCTGTTTGTTTCTGCTCAGCACGTGTTCAAACAGGTCGTACACAAAGTCCAACCTGACACACACACAGAGAGAGATATCAGAAACACACACACACACACACACACACACACACACACACACACACACACAGATATCAGTACACACACACTCAGGAACATACAGAGAATACACATTAACAAGAAAATACAGAAGCAGGACAGGAGCTTCAGAATGAAATAGTTACTTCAGCTAAAAAGACCCCTAGACCCCCAAGAGAGTAGTCTCTCTTTGAGAAGTAAAAACATAGATACACTTTTATTTATGAAGTGCAAAAACACGGTTTTAAATTAATACAATAGTTTTTTTACTTTTTTGATAGTTCAGTTTTCTTGAAGTTTTAGTAATAAAATGTCTGCAAGAAATAGTGTAAACCTTTCTGCTTTGTAATTTGTATTCTTCTAATTATTATTTGTAAAGCACCTTTCAAAATAAAAGTGTATTACGGAAAATAACACTTTTTATTTTTTTGTGATATTCAGCAAAAATCGCATTTTGAAAGTGATTTGCAAATTGACATTGAGCTGAGCAGACTCGAAGGAAAGTTGTTATCATTGAGAGAAGGTTGTCAGATTGACGCGTGCCACAGAGCAAGGCATCTAATCTCCAAATCCCTATTTATTACAACAGTAGATAAAGTTATGATGACATTAGCGTACCTGCTCTCTCTCAGCAGGTTGAGGATGTCATCTCTGAAAGTGTCTCTGTTCTTCTCCAGCATCCCCCGAACATCATACAGCACCTGAACTCACCACAGGGGGGCGCCACAGGAGCACAATAACAAGCATTCATCAGTTTAGAGAATATTTGAAGGAGAAAAAGTCCTAAAAACTGCACATCTTTTACACAAAACTACACCAAACATAAAGGCTCTCACCTCTCCTGCGTAGTGCCGGACTCCAAAGTTGTGCACGGCCACTCGAGGCTTCACGTAGAAGGAGTTTTTCTGCAGAAAGAGACAGAAAACTGTTTGATTACTTTCAAAAAAACGAATCACAGTCACAGATAAAAAGACTCAAATCTCAAACATAAAGGAGTTCAAGCCGTACATCCCTAATAATGTGAGTATTTGAGTCGTACCGAGTGCTGACTGTGCAGCTTCTCCAGTAAAGTGCAGTCTGTGGCTTTGGGGAAGTGACTCTCCTCGTTCATCAGCGCCAGGACGCCCAGTTTCTGTGGGAAAAGACAAAGGACAAATGAGCAGAGAAGTATCATTTCAGATGGTCTGCAAAGAAACATGTTCTATTTCTGTCTATAGTTTCAATATATATTTATTTGTTTACGCTGCTATGGACAGTCTTGCACTAATGTACATTCTCAAAGATATTGAAGTGACTGTCATTTTGTATATATTGATTGTTGTGTTTTTATTTAGGTCTTAAAGGGGACCTATCATGCAAAATGCACTTTTTGATGTCTGTTATACATAAAGATGTGTCCCCGATGTGTCGCAGCTTCAGAAAATAAAACCCTCTCTCTTTTCCTCCGTACCCAAATCTCTAAAAACGGGGGAACAACGGAGCTGATCCAGATTTGCGTCCGATATGACGTAATATCTGAAATGTGGACCCACGGCCCTATCAGAAACGTTGCTATCAGAAACAATGCCCGACTGTTTTGGACGTAATATGGTCTGTGTTTACATTAGCATCGCTAACACTCAGAGCTAACCTGTACTGGAGAGCATGTGTGTGAAGAAGCAGGAAATAAAAAGGAACTCACCTTGTGGTATAACCGGCAAGAGAGAAAGCCTTTGAGCTCCATACTGTTTCAGAAAGAATCCTTGATAATCCATGATATGGCGTTTCATCACGGCAGCATTTAGTTTAGACAGTAGCTGCCGGGTCCCCGCATGAGCTCAGACCCCTCCTTTTTTATTTTATCAGTTTTTTTAAAGTTTTATACCCCAAATCAGCTCTTTTGAAACAGGAAGTGAAATAGAGGGATATGAGGCATGGCTAGAATGGGTGATCTGTTTGGTATTTTGAGAAAAACACTTCATAGACATGTTTTTTATATATTTGTATATATCTGAGACCTATGCTATTGCCTAAAAATAGCATGATAGGTGACCTTTAATGTGTGCATATGTATAAATGTGTGTGTTGATTGTGTATATATACATATTTTTATATATCTTGTTTTTGTATTCGGGATTGTGGGAAACAGTATTTTGATCTCTCTCTGTCTGTACACACAAACTGAAAGCTTGACAATAAAGTTGACTTTGAGTATAACTGTTTGTTATTGTTGCCTCAGTTTATTTGGAATATAAAACATTGGGGAAATAGACAGTATTGAAGTCAAAATGACTTAAGTTAACTTTCTGGATTTGAAGACCATTTTTGCATACGGATAATTAAATGAAATGTCTTGAATGTACGGGAATTAAAATGACTTGTTGACGTTTAAGTGTATAACGTCCGTGCAGAAGAAAAAGGTGTTTTAATAAGCGTCGTACCTTCTCGATGAGATCCAGACACTCTCCGTTATCCATCCAGTTGATGTCCACCCAAACCAGACCTTCCCTGCAGACACAGGACATCACTTTAATCTCTTTTTGTCACCTCATAGAACTAAGCACCGAAACTGGGAGGACAGCGCCTTCTTCGTGACAATCTCACCGTGTTCAAATCACAAAACTCACCTTTCAGAACGGCTTTTAATTTGTTATTAATGCTGTGTTTCATATATTTAATTGTGTTGTTTTAATGATGTTATTTCTACTTTGTAAAGTGTCTTTGAGTTTCCAGAAAAGTGTTCTATGTAGAAAATGCATTATTTGAAGCAATAGCAAATAGTATTTAAAGTCTTGTTAGAATTTGGATAAAATAATGAACACATTTTAGAAACGTTCTGAGTTAAAATCAACCTCCACCTACTTGTTGTACTCGAGCTGCTCCAGGGAGAAAATGTGCTTGTTGAAATATTCCTGCAGCTTCTCGTTTGCATAGTTGATGTTGAACTGCTCGAAGCGGTTCACCTGTTGGGGACAACATTCAATATCAGACATTTTTACTTTAAATGCTTATGTCCATATTTGACTTCTTTATTGCACATTCTTACTTTAAATTATTATATCCATATTTGTCTATTTTGCTTTATTTATCCTTAGATTTTGTTCACGCACCTCAAAGTTCTCGAAGCCGAAGATGTCGAGGATGCTGATGGACTTGAAGTCCTCTCGTCCTCGGATGCGGGTGTTGAGCTTGCGGATGATCCAGTTGAAACACTGCGAGTAAAGAGCCATGGCCATGGAGTCTCTGGAGTCCACCGCCTGAAGGGGAGAGAAACGGTTAATAAAGGGAGTGCATTTATAACGTTATCTTCCAGTTGTGACGACACTTTAAAGCTCTTTTAGATATAGCAGCAACATTTACTCATGCACACACATTCATATAGAGGCAGAGGCTGTTCAGGTGGACTAACATTCACACACACTCACACACACTGTTGGCCATCGGGAGCAACTTGGGGTTAATCATCTTGCATTATGACAGATTTCAGGGGCTTTCCGTGGACATCACATTTTTATCCAACGCGGAACAAACTCAAAGCAAGAATCCTGCAGGTACATTTCAGATCCATAAACCCAACCAGATTAAATGGTAACTGTTCTGTACTTAGACATCTCTTTATCAGGTCTTCTGAACCCCTCAAAGCTCTTGACATTCTACGAGTCATTCACGGATTCACACAGAGCAGCACCACTTGCTCTAGGGAAGCTAACACTCACAAACACCCACACTCACAAACACTCACACACACTCACTCACAGCCACAGTCGCCCTGAAGCTTCACTTAAAGCCAAACATGTCTCAGGGCTAAGGTTTTAGCAGAGATTCAGTCGGTGAGTTTTCCGTCTGAACCAAGTTCTAAAGTCTTAAAACCTTCACTAAATGTCCGCCCTGTATTTGGTCTTAAA